GTCAGGATGGATGTGACAAGTTTTGAAATAATTTATGATATGTCAATATTAAATTCGCTTCCGCAATATTGTTAAATACTCCGTACTGTATATGTTATGAAAAATATTATTGGGATTAATAAAGTGTGTTTGAAAAGTTTTAAATTATCACGATTACCAAATCAATACTTTAGTCCGAAAGGGGCTGCAGACCTGGACGGATTAGGGTGTTACACGTTCTATGTCTGTGACCCTATTCTAGGTACCTATAGAATTGGCCATAGTATTTATTAGACGCTACAAGTGATAAGCGGTATCTAGCAACACATTATCACATACACCCAAATTATAGATATAAAGCTCTCGGGACAATTCCTACAACAACACATCTCATTTGTATAACTCTTATCCCTTTATCACTAATATCTTAATTTAACACAAGGTATGGGTGTGTGTCACCTTGTTAGAGTTAAATCGATGGTTTACTGATTTTTTGGTTGACTTGTGGGATTCAAATAACATATTTATATGGGCATGGCCATGCACTTTGACGAAAATATTTTAGCGATAATAAAATTTACTCTAAAAGAGTTCCATTTATTCCCGTTTCGTATTCATGTGGATTGGCGTAAAAAATAATTTTTCTATTTAAATATAGTTAGGCAAAGTTTTACTCATCGGTGTAGGAAGCCTTCTAAATTCGAAAGATATTTGTGATTTGGACTTGAAAATGAGTTGGACAAAGTAATAAAATGATTGTTTGATAAAAAGGGAATATGAATTGATCTTAGGTAGTAGGAATTTTTCAGATATTTTAACTAGTTTGATTATTAAATTAACTAATTAATTTATCTAGTGAGTAATTCCGTCACAAAAACTCCATTAATTTTATCCTATCTCTAGGCATCATTAGTGTGCTAGAATTTATTGACTAAATTATTTTTCTCATTCATAGACAAATGGACATAATAATTTTTCAAGGATTAATTAATAAATAAGCCAGATTAATTAATTAGAACATACAACAATTACTAGCAACATAACATTTTAATTAATTAAATTTAATATTCCAACATAATTATTTTTCCTACATTCCCACTACCTTAATTTCAATTCACATCCCTAATATATTTAAAAATACATATTAATAATAAAAGGTGCACAAATTAAATAACAAAACATGTTTATATTATTAATTAAATAAACTTACAACTTCTAGAGAAGCGGAATAGGAACAGATCTGGAACTGAAACTCCAAAAATAAACTAAAACTATGGATTTTATAACTTATTTCGCTCCTAGAGAGAGGAAAATCAGAACTGATGATGATGGTTGTAGGCCGAACGACGCTGCCTTATAGAGGCATTGGAATCTCTGGGGCAGGGTGTAACGCCCCGAAAATAGGCCTATCAGAATTAATTAATTAATAATTAATTAATTACTGAGAAGGACCCAAAAATATGTGAATTATAAAGTTGGTCAATAAATAATAAAAATTTTATCATTATGTAGAGTTTGACTGTCCGATTCCAACGGTTTAATCGGATTTCAATTCAGAGAAAGTTGGACCAAAAAGTGTTCCCCGACTGGGACCAAATTAGTCCTAATCAGGGACTTACGTTTAAAATCGGAGAAGACAGCAGCCCGCTCCACCCAGCCGCCGAAACAGTCGAAGGAGAGGTCATCACTGTGTCTTCATCCTCCTTCACTTGGCTATATAAGGACCATCTCTTCCTACCCAATTCTTCACCATTTCTTCCCAAATTGCTTCTGAGAGTTAGCTTTGAGTGTGTAGAACGCAGTGGTGCTGTCATATTGGTGTGAGGTCGCCGGAGATAGCCACAATCCTTGCCGGAAGTTTCGCCGGAAAATTTCCAAAACCTCCATTACGCTTCGAGGTAAGCCCGTAGATATATCTAATGACTAGAATGTTTGTATAGATCGTTTCTACGTTCATAAAC